ACCCAATGAGATAAATTGGCACAGTGCACAATGGTCTCAAATGTATCCAAGATAAGGATGGTACAGGATAGCACAGGATTCAGATCTTTTGTCCATAGAATCATTGTGAGTTGTACTCAACAGTACCTAACAACAGCATTAATATGCCCAAAGTATGTAAGACAAAACTTTGTCATTTTTGCCTCCATGGAGCACTCTGGCTATACTTTCTCATATCTGTCTTCTGATAGTTCATAGGATATTCAATACTCTCTCCAATATAACAACTCAAGATTTCCATTATTCTTCTGTCATCCTTGTTCATTACTCAGCTCTCAGATGTATAGCAAGTAATCATGATAATAATCGCCACTTGGTGTTTTCTTTTAATGGTATTTTCAATGAATAAATCATTGTACAAAATTGTGTCATGCAATCTTGAGCTTATTTCTGTCACTAAGTCTGTCTTTTCCAACTACCAGTTCTCTGTCTTAGTTTCAAGTTTTACATTCCAATCACAATTATTATTAATGCATCTTGATTGAATATTCTGTCAATTTATGGCTACAAAAGCTGGTTAGACTCTTCAATATCTTCATCTTTTCCTTTAGTGGTTAGTGTGTATATTTGAATAGTTGTGTTAACAGATTTTCCTTCTGTGTGCATGGCTAGTATCCTATCACTCACAACATTGTACTTCAGGATTATAACATGTTCTTTGTTTCTAGGAATGCAACACCATTCTTCTTCAGTTTGTCATTCTCTGTGTAATAGATTATAATATTGTCTGATTCAAAGTGGCAAATACCAGTACATCTCAGCTCACTAATGCCTACAGTGTTGTTCTTTTATGTTCCATTTCATTTTTACAACTTCTAATTTTCCTAAATTCATACTTCATACATTTCATGCACTAGTTGTTAATGAATGTTTGCTACTGTTTCACTTCATTTTTTTTTAATACCTTCCAAACTGAAGGGCTACTCTACTTCTGGTACTATAGTTAAAAACCACATTGATTACATCTGTGGAAAGAATTGGTGGAGAAGATCAATATCAGCAGTCAAAACAAGGCCCTGGGCTGACTGTGAAACAAACCATTTATTACTCAAGTGCAAGTTCAAATTAATGGTGAAGAAAATTAAAACAAGTCCATGAGAACAGAAATATGACTTTAAGTCTATTCCACCTCAATTTAAAAACCATCTCAAGAATAAATTATAATTCACTGAACACAAATGAATGAAGGCCAGATGAATTATGGGATGACATCAAGAATTTCATCCATGAATAAAGCAAAACAGTCATTACAAAGATGGGATATAAAGAAAAGAACAAAATGGATGTCAGAAGAGACTCTGAATGTAAAGAAGTCAAAATTAGAGTGGGAAAATGCTGAAGTGAGAGAGCTGACAGAACACTGAAAAGGGTTGCTTGGGTAGATAAAACAAAATATTGTAACAAAATAGAACTGGAGTTAGAAGACCAAAATGAAAAAATACAACCAACATTTCTCAACCTCAAAGAGCTGAAGAACAAATTCCAGCCTCCAGATACAATACTGAAGAATTCTATGGGCAAATTTTTTTTTCATGTCAGATGGGTAGTGTGCCTACATTGTAACAAGGTTTAGTGGGTAGCACATATCATACAGAAGTATGAACTCCCAATCATCATGCATATGAACCAGGAAAGGTTCATATGGGCAAAAATCTTGAATGATGCAACAAGCAGTTAAAGAAGATGTCAAGAAGTACAGTCACTGTATCAAAAAGAACTGGTTGACCGTAAGTCATTTCCTGAAGTAGCATGTGATCAAGAACTAATGAAAATGAATACATTTGAGTTGCCATAAAGGTATTGACAAAAAGTAAGGCCCTAGGATTTATGGAATACAAATGTAGGTGTTTTAACAGGTATATGCAACCCTGAATGTGCTCACCAATCTATCAAGAAATTTGAAAGGCAGCTAGCAGCTACCTGACCAACTGATGGGAAGAAATCTGGTTTTGTTCTCATTATAACATATGATCCAAAAGAGAATGAAAATCTCAGAACACTTAATTGTGCATATGTAAAACTTATGCATAGACAAAGAAGAAATTATGCAAACAGAATAAGTGAACATTGCATGGATTACACTCCCCTATCAAGAAAAATAAAATCCTAACAACTGAACCAATAGGTCCAGGATAAATGGAGGAAAGATTAGTGATGTCAAAGTATTTTACTTGGACCCATAATCAACACCCATCAAATCAAAAGATAATTTGTACTGGGAAAATCTGCCATCAGAGACCACTTTAAAGATGATTAATTTTATAAAACATAATAAATGGGAATGATTGTATGAAATACATATGAATGAAGAATAGTGAAGCACAATGTATTCTGACTTTGTAAGCAAACTAATATAAAATAAAAATTAAAGAGAGCTAAAGAGAAAGGATGTTAGTTTGTGTTGCACCTGACCTAAGCTTCAACTGCTTTCTATGCAGCTGAAAATTGGACAATGAATAAGAAAGAACAGAGAACAATCAATGTCTTTGAATTGTGATGTCAGAGTATTAAATATACCATGGACTTCCAAAAGAGCAAACAAATCTGTATAGGAGGAAGTATAACCAGTGTGCTCCGTAGAGGCAAGGGTGGTGACATATCACATACTTTGGGCATATTGTTAGGAGGGGCCAGTCGTTGGAAAAGGACATCAGAGTGGGAAACACAGTGAATCACTGAATGAGAGGAAGACCCTCAAGGACAGAGTTTGACACAGTGACTGCACAGGATTCGAGGGTGGTGGAGATCGTGAAAATAGTGCACTATAGGAGAAGGGTACAATCTAGTGTTCCTAGGACCTCTACGAGCTGTAGTCAACTTGATAGTACCTAATAACAACAGCATTCCCTTAATGAGATCTGATATAATCATTGTCTTGGTAAAATCGAATATAGTATGATCATTTTCTTGGTGAGATCTGATAGAATGGAATCACTTCCATTATGAGATCTGCTATGGCTGACCACACAATTTAAAGGGATTTTCATAGAGGAAAATAATGTATATCCCTGTTTAGAGGGATGTGCATGGATATCTGACAAAGCTGGCTTATTTTTTGCTTGAATTGGATCCTGCATTGGGTTTTCATCATCTGACCTCTGATTCTTTGGACTTGGTGTCACACCCTACTGTGACTGGTGGTCTTGAGCTTGTCGCCTCTTGCAGCTGTGAGAGTCATGAGACGCCTCTAGCCTACAGTCTGACCCTCAGACTTGCCAGCCTCTACAAGAATATGGAGTATTTTCTCAAGGTAAATCATCAATCTGTCCCTTCTCTTCCTCCCTCCCTCTATCTCTCTTTCTCTCTCCTCTTTTCTCTCATGTATATATGTGTGTGCACACATACACATTAGTTTGCATCTCTGGATCATCAGCCTGAAACATTTAGTACTGAGACTGGTTCCTGAGAAAATTGTAGGGCTAGATTTTCTATGTTGGTTCTGTTAGAAACATGGCTCAATGTCACGACAGAACAAAAGGTCTTGGCAAAGCATTTTACTTCTGCAGAAGGTTGCTTAGACAGACATTAGTCTGACCAACAAGCAGCCTGGTGGACAGCCTGCTTAGGTTTTTATTTCTGACTAAAAAAAAACACCAAAAAGCTAAGGCTGTGTTTTACCCTACTGGTCATGGGTTTAAACTTCACAGCCTGAAAGGAGCGAGTTTGAAAGGAGGAGGCTAAGGCTTTAGGATGTTTGGAATGTCTTTGTTTCAGAGGGCATCAGGAAGTGGCCTTGGCTGATTCACAAGAAGAGTACAAGGAAAGGGAAATTTTTATTAGTAATTTTTAGAAAACGGGTTCTTGTTTCAGCTTGTAACTTTTGAAGAGAAGATGTTTTGGGGTGTTTTTTTTTACCTTATTAGAGTTCTCAAGCCAATAGCTTTGTCACCTGTAATAAACAGGGCTCTGCCTCCATTAATAAAAAAAAAAGTTCAACTAATCCATGACATTAGTTGTCAATATTAATATTCCAAATATCCTCACCACTAGATCCAGTATGAGTGACTCGTGAGGCTCCCCATGCTGGAGTGTTTTACTTTTTTCTATTTTGTCAAGATGAGAAATTTAGGAAAGCAGGTTGGCTAGTCTTGCTTACGCTAGGCAAAATGGGGAAAAGAGAGATGAGCTCCGAGAATCATATAAAAGTCCCCAAAGTTTCTGTGTGTGTGTACACGCATGCGTGCACATCAGTTACCCAATCACTCCTGGAACTGGAATTCACCTCCCCACCTTATCTTTCACTCTTTGGGACTTGGTCTTTTGTGGATTACACACATGCACTCTCAGGATTGTTATTTTTAAGCCCCCTGTTGACAGAGAATTTAGATTTATTCATATTTGATATTTTATCTAGTGTCATTGTATGTGTTGATACAGATTTTAAAAGTCATTTTCTTAGAAAAAGCAATGGCTGTTTGGAGCCCCTACCTACTCACTTAAATATGTCAACAAAACTTAAGTAACAAAATATATTTCTGACCTGCACTTGTTGAAATCCTTAAAGTCATGTACCAGGTTAATCCATTTGAAAGGGGGAGGGGGAATCTGTGATATCTTTAAAGAAAATCTGCCATGGTTTGTATCATTTTTAACCTGTCAGCTCTAAACAGACTACACAAAATTGATGGACATCTGTCCGTGATCCCGTAGCAGATAAATGGGCAGATGCCTGGTGTTACTTGTTCAGCAGTTGAAGGGGCTCTGCCTGCAGCCCTGTGACACTCACTTGTGTTCTGGGCAGGGGAAACTACCCATCAACCTGCCATTAACTGTTGGTTTGATTTGCAGGTTTTTCATTATTTTATTATTCATTGTCAGCCTGGCCTGGGTCCCCTATCAGGTCACATCACAGAGTGGACATCTGTTTGAGCACATGCAGGCCGTGACGGTTTACCTGGCACCACCTATCGCTGCTGTCTTCCTGCTTGCTGTGTTTTGTAAGCGAGTGAATGAACAGGTGAGTGGGCACGGCCACCCCTGGCACTGGGTGAGGGGCAGTGTTCATACTGTGGGTCTTTTAAAGGTTACCTTTAAAGGGTCACTCCTGCTTTGAGATTCCAGCTGTAACATCATTAGCTCTCTGAGAAGCTAATTCTTTCTGGGGAAAGTTGGTCTGAGCTCCCTCTTGTGCACAGAAGGAAGTAAGCACTTGACTTATTCCCTTCCCCTTGAGGTTTAAAACTTTCTGGCCATAAATGATGTTGAGTTGGTGACAGGTTCCCAACATGCATCCCCAGCTGAGCTGTGAAAAGAGTTGTGTTGTTTCAGTACACAAATGGGTCTGACCAGAGGTTCCCCATGTGCTCCTGCTGCGTTGTGTGCAGAGAGGATTGTGATTTTGACCAGATCTTCCAGCCACCCCTGGAGTCCAAGGAATTATCCCAGTCCCAAAGGATTAACCATTCCTCCTCTGAGATGTTGAAAATGTGTTTGCCAGACTATTATATTCATGTATTTCAGTCATTGCTGGTGGGGTGCACTCCACCGGTTCCTAAGCCTGGCATTTGATGCCGTGTGTGGCCCTGCCCTGCCTACCCAACAGCTGTCCTCTCTTCCCACAGCCCCTCGGCCTCAGCCACTGCACACTTCTCAATGTGCTTTTTGCCTTGTTGCCCCCGGGGCTCGCTGACTTCCTTCCCTGTGTTTAGATGGTTCCCTTTGCCTGGAAAACCTAACTGATTCTTATTTCTGAGCTCTTCTAAATGTGGACTCCTCCAGACCACCCTGCCCTTACTCTCTCATCTTCCCTGCTCACCTTGGCTGGAACGGAGTGACAACAGAAGGTGCCCAGGATTCCAGCAATTCTTCAGCTGAGAGCCAGCAGGGCCTACACTCAGGAGAACAGCAGCCACTCTAGGCTGTGAATCTTTATGTGTAGCTCTTCTCCCCTCTCCAGCCTCGAGAAAAGGTGCTCTCTGCATCCAGTGTCCATCTAGACCTCCCCTGCCCTGGCATGCCCTGAGAAGGGCCCCCAAGGTTCCCCACCCTAGCTCTGGGTTTCACTGCTTTCTTTGAGGCATTTGGCTCTGACAAGGCCCTTAGGCTACCCCCTCCTGCAGTTCTTCCAACGTCTACCCCACGTCAGCCGGGCTCTGCAACTCCTAGCCAAGGCCTCGCTGATACTTAGTTGTCTTAGACAGCATCAAGTTCTGCTGGGGCTATCCGGACCCACACTCAGCACGAAATGTAATGTCATTCTGATCTTAAAGTTTCAGGTGTCTTAGCCTCCTGCCAGGATTGACAGTCATGGTTTTAGTGCAGCCATTTTCAAAATTATATGAAGTGTGTCACTTTTCCATGCATTCAGCTAATATTGAGTGTCTTTGCTATGCCTGACCTAGACCTGGTTTTAAGGCACACAGTAGACTACATCTTTACCTTCCAGGGTCTTGCAGAGTCTACTTAAAGGGACAAGTGGTGCACAGTGAGCACATGGCTGTCAGTGACTCAGTGCTTTTTGTTGTCACTGTTGTTCAGTGTCATCAAGTTGACCCTATGAGCAGAAGATCTGACCCTGACCCTATCCTGCACCATATTCATGATGCCCATCATGCCCAAGCTCACTGCAGTGGTCACTATGTCCTTCCATCTCATGGAAGGTCTTCCTCTCTTTTGCTAATCTGCCACCTTTCCCAGCATGATGTCTGTCTCCGAGGTCTAGTTCCTCCTGAAAACATGCCCAAATTATATGAGATGAAATTTCATCATCTTTCCTTATAAGAAGCTCATGGTACTTCCTCCAAGATAGATTTATTTATCTGTTCTTTTGATACCCTATGGGATATTCAGTAGTCTTCTCCAATACCACAATTCAAAGACATCAATCCTTCTTTGGTCCTTCTTATTTATGTCCTACTTTCAGATGCACAGGAAGCAGCTGGAAGTATTATGGCTTGCATCAGGTGTACTCTGTTCTTTGACAGTCTTGCTCTTTAACAATTTCAGGAGGTCCTTGCCAGCACATTTGCTCAGTGCAGCGTATCTTTTGGTTTCTTCACTGCTGATATCACAGATTTTGATTTTAAATTCAAGTTGACAACTTCATCTTATCATGGTTTTTTTGTTCCAGTGGTGAGGATTTTTATCTTCTATATATTGAGATGTAATTAAAATTGAAAGCTGTTTAGTCTTTGGTCATCTGCAGCAAGTGTTTCAAGTCTTATTCACTTTTTGCAAGCAAGGTTGTGTCAATAACTCGAGTTGTTGATGGGTCTTTTGCCAATCCTGACGCTGCCATGTAGTCTAGCTTCTCAAATTATATGCTGTGAATACAGAGTTTCATTGACTATGCAAAGACATTTGACTTTTTTGGATCACAGCAAACTGTGGCTAGCTCTGAGAAGAATGGGAATCCCAGAACACTTGATTGTGCTTATGTGAAACCTATACTTGGACCAGGAGGCAGTCATCAGAACAGAACAAAGAAACCCTACATGGTTCAAAATTGAGAAGAGTGTCCACCAGGGATGTATTCTATCTCCATACCTTTTCAATCGATATGCAGAACAGGTCATCCAGGACGCTGGGCTGTGTGAGGAGGAATGTGGCATCAGGATTGGTGGAAGATTCACCAACAACCTGAGTTATGCAGATGACACAACCCTGCTTGCTGAAACTTGGGAGGACCTGAAGTGCTTGCTACAGAACGTCAAAGACTGCAGCCTTCAATATGGATTGAAGCTCAACATCAAGAGAACAAAGATTCTCACCACTGGAAATTGAGATTAACAGCTTTCATTTGCTTGGCTCCACAATCAACACTCTTAGTACCAGCAGCCAGAAAATTAAGAGACGAATTACATTGGGAAGGTCAGCTGTCAGGGACCTCTCCAGAGTACTGAAGACCAATGACATCAGTCTTGAGACTAAGGTGCACCTGATCCAGACCACAGTCTTCGTAATTGCTTGCTATGCCTCAGAGAACGGGACAATGTCAAGGGATGATAGAAAGAGAATTGATGCCTATTGGCTATGGTGCTGGAGAATAGGGTTGAATATACCATGGATGACCAGAACAAACAGATTCATCTTGGAGAGGGTGAAGCCAGGCTGCTCCTTGGAAGCAAGGATTCTGAGGCTTCATCTGATGTAATCAGGGTGTGTTGCAAGGAGGGGCCAATCTTTGGAGAGAGACATCATGCTTGCAAAGGCAGAGGGACTGAAAAAGAGAGGGAAATCATCGATGAGATGGATAGTTACAGTGACTGAGGTAATGAGGGTAGGTATTTCAGAGATAGTAAAGTTGGCATAGGATAGAGCAGGTTTCAGGGCTGTTGTACATAGGGTCGCTGTGAGTTGTAGGTGACTCGATGGCATATGACAACAACAACATACAGATTGAAGAGATATGAAGAAAGGATTCAGCGTTGATGTACACATTTCCTGATTTTAAACCTTGTTCTGTTCAAACTACAGCCTCTTGATCTATATACAGGTTTCATATGAACAGAATTGTTTTGAGATTCCCATTTTTCTCAGTGTTAGATATAATTTGTTAGGATTCACACAGTCAAGTGCCTTTGCTTAATCAGTTAAACTCAAGTAAACAACTTCCAGGTACTCTGGGCTTTCAGCCAAAATCCATCTGACATCAGCAGTGATATCCTACATGCAATGCACTCTTCTATACCCAGCTTGAATATCTAGCAGTTCCTTGGCAATTTATTGTTTTAGTTGGGTTTTTTAATAATCTTCAGAAAGGTTTTACTTGCATACAACGTTAATGCTGTTGCTTGCTAATTTCCAGTCTGTCTGAGAAAATTTGCCATTGGTTGATCTTAATCATGAGGAATTGTGGTGGCACACTGGTTAAGTACTCAGCTTATAACCAAGACTTAGAGGTTTCTCCAGAGAGAAAAATCTGGTGATCTGCCCCCATAAAAAATAAAACCAAAAATGACTGCAATCCCAGAGGTTTGAATCCACCAGATGCTCTGCTGGGGGACAGTCTCCTCCAGTACCAGTCAGATCCAATTCGACGGTACACACACACACACAAATAATAAAATTTTAAAAATAAATAAATGCATAAAATAAAAAGTGAAAACGTAAAAGCCCCTCCACTGTGGCCCATGGTGCCACTTAGGCAGCAAGAGAGTCTCCGTAGACTACTTTCCAGGAGCAGTCTGCCTTGTGCATGTTAGGAGGGGTCTAGGGGGGCTTCAAGCCACCAAGACTTTGGTTAGCAGCAAGCTCTTAACCAGTGCACCACCAGGGAGACTTCCCTACAAGCCACACAGCTCAAACACCCCAGAAAGTTGTCCCACTCTGGAGCATGGGCCCCCATGGTCACAGGCAACGTGATAGCACAGCACAACAGCCACAGTCCAGCCTGCCTGGCTGGGCTCCTCCACTGTACCAGGTTACTGGGTGATCTTTCAAGTCTGGCCACCCCGTTCATTCACACAACCCTAAAGTGTAGTCTGGATGCTTTAAAATAGCGCAGGCATGCCAGCTACTCAGGAGAGTCTGCAGTGTGAGGGTTGTCTCCCAAGAAGCCAGGCACATTACCTGACGTTATGCAGATTCTTCGTGTGGGAGAAACCATGTATGATGTCTGTGTCACATGGGCCGTCTCCATCCTGCCACTGCAGACTGCTCAAGGTGTGTCTGCAGCCTTCAGGGGTCCTGGGGTGGGGCTGTGGCTCTGCCATAGGGATGGTCAGGGACCTCCCAGTGACTCTGGGGTCCCTCCTAGCAGGGATACTCAGCCTTCAGAGGTGCTGGGGTAAGTATGCTGTGGCTCTAACATAGGGATGAGCAGGGACCTCCCAGTGATTCTGGGGTCCCTCCTCAGCAGAGTGCTCAGGAATGCCCCAGCCTTCAGGGGTGCTGGGTGGGGGGTGGGGGGGGGCTGTGGCTCTAACACAGGGACAGGGAGGGACCTGCTGGTGACTCTGGGTTCCCTCCTCGGCAGGGTGCCTTCTGGGGCCTGACTGTTGGACTCCTGACTGGTATGTCTCGCATGGTAGCTGAGTTTGCTTATGGCCCCCAGAACTGTGAAGAGCACAGCTTGTGCCCCCCTGTCATCTGCAGCGTGCACTTCCTCTACTTCACCATCATCCTCTTCGTCTTCAGCCTCCTTATTATCCTGGGGGTCTCCTTAGCAACAGAACCCATACCGGACAGAAATGTGAGTTGTCCCAGGGCTTTGGGCTGCCAGCCCGCTCTTCAGAGGTCCACATCCCTGCTTCATCAAAGTTCAGGGTGGGGCAGAAATGGGCAGCCAGCACTGACAAAACCCTGCCTGAAAACATCCCCAGTCAGAAAACCTCAGCCATCCACCAATGTGGTTTCGTTTGACTAAGTGCTTTGCCTTTATTTTTCTTTTATTCACCAGAAAGTTTTTATTGCCATTTTAACAGAAGTTTACAGAAAGTTTGGGTTTTCATTCATTCATTGCTGCACGTTTTCCTCCCTCCCTCTCCTTTGCCCTCCCCCAGTATATGTTGCAATACACCTCTTGTTCCAGAGTGTTGTCATACATACAACTCGTCATCATACCTTCCTCAGACAGTTCTTCCCCTCATCTGTTCCAATGCAGTGTTCATTTTCTATTACTCAGCATTAAAAAGCAATGAACTTGTAAAAAATTATGCAACATGGGTGAGCCTGTAAGACATTATGCTAAGTGAAAGAACTCAGTCACAAAGGGACAAATACTGCATAACACCACTGTTATAAAATAGAATAAATGTGGTGGGGTAGGGAGAATAGGAAAGGAGGTTTGTTGTTTAAAATGCTGTTTTCCTTGGAAACATTGTGATACTCAGTCACCTCAGTACAGCATAACCAGGGCTGTCTCAGGTGCCACCTCCCCAGAGGAAATTCAACCAGAAGGGAAGGCCGCTACTTAAAAGGGGATTTGTGCATAACCATCCTGTGAGGGGCACTCTTACCTCCTAGGGTGAGCAGATGGTTAGATTCTAAGCCACTGCCTGGAAGCATGGGGAGCTCAAACTCACCCACCCAGACGCTGGAAAGTAAAGCTTGATGGTCCCCTAGTGAAAAGTCAGGCTCAGAAAACCCCATGGGGACAGCTGTACTGACATACGTGATGTCCCTCCAGTTGCAGCCCATTCAGGGGACGGAGACCCTTTGGGGACAGAGGTGCTGCCACATGGGAGGACTCTCCAGTAGAGTCCACCAAGTGGATAGGCCCCATGAGGACAACTGACATGTGCTGTCCTTCCAGTGGAGCTCATTCAGTGGACAGAGACCTCATAAGGACAGGTGTGCTGACACACGTGAGGTCCCTCCAGTGGATGCCCACTCAAGGGCAGCAGGTTCTGGTTTCACTTGTTCACTGACCACCCATTTCTGGACATGGGATGGTGCAGGCTCCCAGCAGCCTCATGACCTGTACACATGGTGGCCCTGGGCCCCAGCCTGGTTCAGTTTGTGCCCCCACCCTCTCAGCAGCTTCTCTTAGTCAGGGCTGGTTCTACAAAGCCACAAGAGGTGGGGCTGCAGTGGGAAGGGCTCTCAGAAAGGGGGTGCCTGGCCTGGGGCCTGGGGAGATCTGCTGTTCTGTAAGCAAAGTTGCAATGGAAGCAGTCAGCCTGGGGGCTGCATGCCCAGAGTCCCTCAGCCCATTCCACATCTCCCACCTACCTTCCTTTCCATACATCTGACCATCTGATAAGACTCCAGGATAGGAAGGCTGTGCCCACACTCTGCCCACCCCCGAAGCCCTGTCAGGAGGCCCTCTGACTGAGTGTCTCCCAGGTCCCCACCCCAAGCCTTCCACTCCTCCAAAGAGGCCCCTCACTGAGTGTCTCCCCTCAGGTCCCCCTGAGGCCTTCCACTCCCATCAGGAGGCCCCTCACCTAGCATTTCCCCAGGCCCCTCCGAGGCCCTTCCACTTCTGCTTGTCGGCACATTTTCATTCATTCTCTATTTCTTTTATTCTTGGCCTCTTGGTTCTGCCCCACTTCTCACATACACTGCAGAGTGTGTCTGAATCTTCAACTGCCGCCTAGCAAGGGAGGGTGGTTGGTGGCCTAGAGTGCAAGGACTTAGTCTTGTCCGGCCTGCATGGCTGGGCCCCATGCTGACATGCCTGTTCGCCTCCAGCTCCATCGGCTCTGCTGGACTTTACGGAACAGCCTGGAGGAGAGGGAGGATCTAGACAAGGAATTCCGAGCGAAGATTGTCCCCACGCCAGTGATACAGCCAGGTGAGACAGCGACATGGGCTCTGCCTGCCACCTGTTATCCTCCCTGGCCATCGATGTGCTTCCAGGCTGCCCTGCACTTGTTTTCCCAGTGTCTGGGCATAAGGAAGACAGTCAGAGATGAGGGATGCATGGGGGCCTGGAGTTCCCACTGTGTGACCCACTAAGGGACCCACAGCGGTGACCAGTGCTGAGGCTCAGGACAGAGACTATGCTGTCTCAATGGACACACTTCCAAGAGTGGTGGTGACATGGCACCAGCCTTTTTGAACACACCCAAGTGCCAGGATAAAGAGTCCAAGCATACTGTTGTTGCAGAAAGCAGGAAAGAGAGAGGCAGCCAAAGGGGCTTGCTGTTGTTGTTGTTGTTGCTGTTGTTGGGAGCCTTGGAGTCCATTACTACTGATAGTGGCCCTGTGCAAAGCAGTTTGATTCAAAGGCATCAGTTCTCTTGTCACCCTTAATTAATGTTCAACTTTCGCATGTATAATCAAGCAGTTGAAAATACTGTGGTTAATTGAGATTTAAATGAAAGTTTATAGAGAACTTGGATTTCTATTCATTCATGGTTGCACATTTTCCTCTCTGCCCACCCCACACCCCAGTTCACTTTTCTCTTTGGGGTCTTTGGGGAAAAAGAAAGTCTTTCATTGTAATCCTTAGATTTAAAAAAAAAAAAAGGAAGGAAGAAAATACTGTGGTTAGATCAGACACACCTTAGTCTTCAACAAGCAGCCTTGCTCTTTAGCACTTTAGAGAGGTGCTTGACTGCAGATTTCTCTTGATCTGTTGACTGCTGCTGAGATGAATAGCAGAAGGCAGCATGGAAGCATGGTGTGACAGAGGGACTCACTGTTGAGAGGGACATCTTAGCTCAATTCATAAACTTGCAGCACTCCACAACAGATTCTACCCCATGGAAAACCTCCATGGAAAAGTGGTAGTCATATCCCTACACATGCAGACACTCTGATGACAGATTCCACCCCATGGGAACCCTCCCTGGGATCGGCATGGTACCCATATCCTCACACCGGCAATCTCCAGGACTGATCCACGCTGTGGGAACCTTCCCCAAAATGGGTGTGGTACTATATCCCCACACCAGCAGACAACCCTCTATGACATTCCACCCCAGGGGAACCCTCCACGGGGTGGGTGTGGTGCATAGCCTCACACTGGCATATACTGTCCATTCCACCCATGCTTGTGGGAATTCTCCCCAGTAGATTTCACACCATGAGGATGCTTCCATGGCTGACTCCTTGCAGGGGGAAGCTTTGGGATGGAGGGTAGACTTCAGGCTGGGTAGCAAAGCTAGAGGGGGGCACAGGATGCAAGTCCCTAAGGAAAACACTCAGAGCAGGCAAGGAACCCTCTCAGAGCTCCAGGTCTGACACAGGGTTGTAGAGCATGGACAGGTCTGTGTTATCAGATCTACAGAACAGACGACAGGTGGAGCGGTGTCCTAGTCCTCAGGGGTGGAATACAGAAAATCAACCACTAACGGGATTGTGTTGGGGAGAGTGGCAGGTTCCAGGGTTCACAATCAAAGAACAGGAGGGGGCAGACGAAAGAGACAAGAGTGAGTTGGTGGGACTTGAAGGAGGGTGGCAAATAGAGACCTGTGGGGCCAGTGGAGGGTGATCTCCACGTCACAGCTGCTGACAGCTAGCCTGACAAAAGTAGAGGTAAGTCAGAGCAGGAGAGGGCAATGCCAGGAAGGCCCAGACACCATAACTCTGAGAGCATTGAAGGCATCTTAGCAAAGGGTCAGGAAAGGTGACATGGCCTAAGGCCCAGGAAAAGGGCTTAGAGGCCAAGAATACAGGGAAGATTGGGGAGGGGGTGGGAATGCGGTTAGGTCCCATTTTTTTTCTTCTGAGGACAGGTACCCCCATCTTTCTCCTCTAAGGACAGGTCCCACTATCTCTTTCTTCTGAGAGCAGGTCCACTCCTTTCTCCTCTGAGAATAGGTCCCTATCTCTCTCCTCTGAGGACAGGTCCTCTCCACTCTCTTCTGAGGCAGGTCCCCAACTCTTCTGCAGACAAGTCCCCTCATCTCTCTCTCCTCTGAGGCCAGGTCTCCATCTCTTCTCTGAGGACAGGACCCTCATCTCTCTCCTCTGAAGGCAGTTTTTTCTCTGAGAGTAGATCCCTTGCCTCTTCTCAGAGAAACTAAGGTCTCCATGTCTCTTGTGTGATGGATAAGATGACTCTCAAGGGTCACTTTCTCATCTCTCTGCAGAGGCAAAGGGGAGCAAGCACTGTATCTTCTTGGTACTGGGTGCCACAACACAGTCACCATCCCCATCTCAGAGACGAGGGCCCAGGCCACAGCAGCTCCAGGTCTGCCCAGCATACTGCCCTAAACCAGCACTTGGTGTGGCAGCCTGACCCCAGCTGCCCAGCCCTGAGTGCATGTCCACCTCTGGCTGCTAGGGTGGACCTGGGCCTTTGGACATGGTTTGACAGCTGCCTGCCTCTCACGTACCAGTTCCTGCACCACTGTGATCCCACTCTGGGCCTGGGAATCAGGGGACCGCATGCTTACAGCAGAGCGGGAGTGTGACTGCCTAGGACACACTGCTAGAGAGACCCTCTCCTAAAGCAGAGGCTGGTCAGACCCCTCTGCTGGACTCATCTGTAAAGTGGGGGACTGGAGAGCCAACTGCCCTGGAAGCTGTGCCACATAACAGCCACTGCCACTTCATACCCAGGTCACATGATGGGAGGCAGACTGGCTGCAAGGAGTATGCCACAAAGGGGCCACTGGGTTCTAGGTGTCTGGGGGGGGCTTGTGTCCAGTGGTGCGTCCCACACTGAGCACAGGCCCCCAGCTGCACACTGACCTGGGAGCCATCAGGACAACCAGCTGGAACTGATAGGACCAAGACAGGACCAGAACTTTGGACCAGCCACGGCCCATACCTGGCATAGTGCATGGTGCTGACCTCCATCCCTGCCTGACTCTTGTCCCTGCTCAGTCTTGGGCTCTGGGCATAAAGGCTGACGTGGCCCCAGACAGCACCCTTGAGCCGGGCACAGATTCCTTGGGGGTGGTTTGCAAGAGCATAGCTTTCCACATGCTATTTCCATAGCATGCCCACACTGGGCTTTCCCCTGCCCCTCTCTTGCAGACATGCTCAAGCTAATACCCTGGGGTCCCCTCCTCCTGGGCCTGGCCTCAGCCCATCTCCTGTCCCTCTGTTGCAGACATGCTTGAGCAGGACCAGGGTTGTCTATGGAAGGCTTGTGACCTGTTCTGTGGCCTAGAGCCAAAACCAGATCCCAGGCTGGCCCCTGAAGAGCCAGTGCCAGAGAACACGAAGGTAGATGATATGCTGGAGACCCCCTTTGGGAGACGGCTTGTCAAGGCCAGCGGGTTCCTCCTGGTGATCCTCGTCATCCTTGGACACATCTGCTATTTCTGAGGAGCGTTATTGAGGAGGGGGCTGCGTGCTCAGATGGCACCTACGACTGGAAGGGGCTTCTGCGTGCACAGGTGGGCCAGGGCCACCCTACAGGGGACCCACTGAAGGCGAGGGAGTGCCCTTCACCTCTGCAGCCCACAGCCTGTGCTGGGAGAACAGCTGCTCCCTCACTGTGAGTCACTCTCTCCAGTGGTTCTGCTGCATAAACAGTGACTCTCCCTTCAAATATAATTTTGGCTTTTTGCCTCTCGATCTATTTGGGGTGTTGCTTGTGTTTACCCAGATTGCAGTCTCTCTCCTAAGCGCTCAGCCTCTGCAGGTTGGCTCTTGTGCTTCCTATCTCGAGGATTTGAGCACCTGTGGGGTTCGCTGCCCCAGCCCTGGGCTGCACTCAGTCAACAAGGTCCAGGGGGCTGGGACAGAGTGACCTCAGTGCAGAAACTATGCACCACCTGTCCCAGAGGGAGCCAGAAGTGCGACCAGGGCAGCCAGGGCCCCATAGCAGACTGGCCCCAGAACCTCTCCTTCCTCTTCTGACTGGACAAAAGCTGCCCTTTGGGGACAAGCTTGCATGGCTTCAGTAGCTCTGAATACTGGTAGCATAAAGAGCCCTCTTCTGTCTGCAGAGCAACAGACAATGACTAGCAAGGCAGTGCTCCCCCCTCAGCTGGGCAAGGGCTTTTTGCGTATCCTCCTACCAGGCCTTTGTGGAATGTACTAGAAAAGGCTACACTTCACAGAGAAAGGCAAGTCTCAGAACAGTATAGAGCTCATGGCGTGGGGACACACCACACCAGTGCCCGCAGCACGGCCCAAGACCACATGTGAGGGAACACAGGCCAAGCCAACCCTGAATTACACAGATGCCCATGGTGTGTTTGGTGGGGTTCACCTGTGTGGTGCGTCCAGTGGGACTGGCCTGACTGGTGTATGTGGTGGCTCTCACTGTGTAATGTGCAGTGAGGCTCATCTGTGTGATGTGTGTGGTCAGGCTCACCTGTGTTATGTGTCTGGGTGGATTCACTTATGTGACATGTGTGGTGGGGCTCACAAATGTGGTGGGGCTCACCTGGGGGGGGCTTACCTGTGTGGGGTGAGTGTGTGGTGGGGCTCACCTCTGCGTTGTTTAATAGGGCTCTTGGAGGTAGAATGGAGAAAGGGGGTCAGTGATCCCAGGGCATGTTCTATTCCAAAGCATGTCTGTGAACCCCAAGATAGGGCCTATGTGTGGGAGCTGTAGGGGACAGTCAGCTAGGCCTGGGAACCAGACAGATTAATTAGGCAGATGCTGCTGGGAAGATGATCACAAGACAGGAGCCTAGATAAGGCCACCCACACTAATGGTAAAAGGAGCAGAATGGTGTCCAGAGAAGCCAGGGGGTAGCAGCTACATTACATGAGGGTGATTCCATTCTGGAACATGGAGTGTGGATAAAGGGGTAGGGGGCTGTGTACGGACTACAGGACATGAGGGTGATTGGATGTCTGGAGTGGAGAGCAGAGGGCAGGTGTGGACTACAGGACATGAGGGTGATTGGATGTCTGGAGTGAGGGGCAAGGTATGGTCTACAGGATATCAGGGTGATTTGACATCTGGGGGGGGCAGGATATGGTCTACAGGACAGGAGGATGATTGGACATCTAAAGCACAGGTAGGGGGCAGAGTTCCACCTCTTGACACAGGCCTAGCGAAGGAAGGCTGACTGGAGGCTGTGAGTAAATTTGAGCTGCCTGACTAGGTTTGTAGCCATCCTAACACTGTGGCATCACTGATATCACTGATATTCCTTTGATAAAGTTGGTTTTACAGCACTAGGAGAAGTGGGACAAAGTGAAGGTCAAAGGGGTTGCTAGCGTGTAGCTGCCCGTGGCATGGACAGCAGAGGGACATGACTGGCCCCTCAAGCAAGCCTTCTGTGGCACCAGCTTTGCTTTGAAGAAAAGCAACATTTTGGAGAAAGATTTTAGCAAGGAAGTAAGGAAACAGCCTTGTCCAAAGCCTGTTGCTCTGAGAAGACCATTGCTGTGCACGGGGTTGAAACCTGCCTCCCTCCCTCACCATGGAGGCCAGCCTAGCTGGGGACGACAAGATGGCCTGCCATGGCCACAGCCCCAGGCCTAGCCTGCCGTCTTGGCTCCTGCTGGGTTCCACACCCATCCACCTGCGGCCGGGCCCCATTCTGGCACCAACCTGTCCCTGAGGGCTTGGACACCAAGCTAACCCCAGCAGAGAGTAATGGCTCCCAAGGCCATCACTTGTTCAAGAATTTCCTGGCCTGAGGTCTGTGGGACCACGTGCTCACTGGACAGGAAAAGCCTTTCTGACCCAAGATCAAGAAACTAGTGCTTTATTGGTGCAGAGAGACAGCTCCAGCTGCCCACTCAGGGCTTCCACTCAATGACCTTGATGGCTATGAGGGCCGCCTGCTTCAAGGCCACATTGCAATCCTTCTCAAAGATGCGGAAAGCGGGCACATGGGCCTGCAGGTAGTGGCGGCCCTCAGGAGCCTCAGCCAGCATGGTGAGGGCCTTGACAGCAAAGAGTCGTACTTTGCTCTTAGGGGAAGTCAGCAGCTCCAGCAGCGGGGTGATGGCCTCCACGTCCAGGGCAGCATATTTCCCTGCAGACCAGAAGCTGGTGAGGTCAGGAGCTGCCTTTTCGTGCCTGCCCCTTGTCAACCCCCATCCCTCCTCACCCACCAAGCCACTGACCACCTCCAGCCTTTATGGGGCAGCTGAACTGCTCTTGATGAGGCAGAGGCTCAGAGATGCCTGTCTCAGGTCCTGGCTTCCCTCTCTCAGGTCCCACAGCTTCTGGTCCCCAGGTCACTGTCTCTTGTCCTGGCCTCTCCATGTGGCCCCACTGCTTCTGGCCCCTGAGTGCAGCCTCAGGTCACTGTCCCTCATCCTGGCCTCTCTGTGTGGTCCCACAGCTTCTGGCCCCTGCCAGGTAACCAGGAAGGAAGACAATAGTGAGTGCCCAGCCTCCAAGCTCAGGAAGCAGACATGGGACTGGTGCATGGTGCTTGGGGGTGGTAGCAGGGACTGTGACCCCCTTACCGAGAAAAGTCACTTCACAATAAACCAGTGCTTCAGGGGATGGCAAATTTGACAACTAAGTCAGTAGTGGTCACACACAATTGTAATTATTGTCACTGATGAATCGCAGTGAAATCAAAGGAATAGCTCAGCTCATTGCCATCCAGTCAGAACCAACTCATAGCTGACCCTCCAGGGGTCAATGTTCCCTAGGCCAGAAACACATCCGAGGAGACTGCCCATCTTCCTGCAGGTGCTGCAGGAACTTGACCACAGACAGGTGCCCCTATGGGTCAGCCGTGTAGTCTAAAGGAAGGAATAGACCCCTGTATGCACACCCTGCACAGACCCTAGGCATGACCACCTCAGGTATCAGAGGGTCACTCCCAGGCCCCGACTCCCACGGTGCCCAGCTCACAGGTGAGGATTACAGGCAGAGAGGATGTGGGGGGAAGGGTGACATGGGAATGCACTGTGGCCAAGAAGAAGGGGTACAGCCTGGATGGCTTAGGGGCACTTGGACCTGGGGTTAGAAACCAATGCTCGAGAAAGTTCCCTACAGTATCAGGACATACCAATGTTAGTCCAGCACCACCCCTTCTTCACCTTCGGTGGACATTGTCCCTCATCCTCATCTTCCTTGGTCACTGGCACCCTCACCTTCATAGTCATTGCCCCCCATTACCATTAGTGGTCACTGTCTCCCATCCTCACCTTCAGTGGTCACTGTCCCCCTCACCTTCAGTGGTCACAGTCACATACATCAGGGCACCCGCAGCATTGGCCTGCACCTCCTCCACCTTGTCCCTCAGCAGGTGCACCAGGATGGGGATCACGTCATACTTCCATACTTGGTTCTTGCCCTCCAGGGGGATGCTGGGCAGAAAGGAGGCCATAGGCCTCAGAGACTTGCTCATGGCCACCCCCGGACACCCCAAGGAAAGGCTAGTGAGAGGCAATCCCTATGATTCAGGAGTGGGTATGCCTGGCCCCTGTGCAGGGCCCTATCTTGGTCTGAGGACACAGGACAGACCCCGTCTCAGGACTGGGTTGCTTGGCCCCGGCGCAGGGCCCTGTGGGTGGGGTCAGGATCCCCAGGACAGACTCTGTCTTGGGCATAGCAGGACCACGAGGGCCCTAAGCAAGAAACAGCAGCTAGACATGTTCTCCCTAGATGCAAACCAAGGGGAGACACCCCGCACTCTACACCAACCTCAAGGAGGCCTTGTGAACCCACTTCAATGCTCAGCCACAAAACTAAAAGCTACAGCCAGCCATGCCCATGTGGGGCCTGGTCACAGGTGGGGAGCCCTGCCTCAGGTGGGAACATGGTGAGGTGACTTTCGGTCACTTCCCATCCTGCTGTTACATAAAACTAGGAAGGGCCCCCACCAGCTGAGTGTGCCCAGCCGCCCAGCAGGTCCTTAGCCCCCCTACCCACTGGGGATGGACCATGAGGATGCCCACGCCTGCTTCCTGGCCAGCTCGTGTGGCCCTAACAGAGGCTTCCTGGGCTGTGGACTCTCTCGACACTCGTGGGCAGTGGGCTGATCAACCCATGGGGAGGGCCTGGCCCCTCCTACAGCTGCCGGGTTGGGCATGGGGGCCTCACCAGACAGCCATCAGGGCACGGGTGGCCTTGCTGCGAATGTCATCATTGGCTCTGAGCAGCATCTCCTTGAGGAAGAGCACTACACGGTTGTCTAGAGCCTCGGTGGCATCCTCCCACAAGCAGGGGGCCAGGGTGTCCAGGATCAGCTCCTGGATGGTCTCCTCCTCCAGCTGCAGCTTCCACACCAGCAAAGGTATCAGGCCACTGCGGACAATGCCCTGGGCTCCTATGGATGGGATGGGCGGATGGGAGCAGCCCCCATGGGAGAGACTAGGGGTGAGATGTAAGCTGTCCCCAGGGAAGTGGAGAGGGGCAGGATGGGAGCCCCTGGGGAAGGGATGGGAGCCAGATGGGGTTGGCCCTCCTACAGGAGCGGATAGGGATGGGATGGAATGGGTGCTGCCCCAGGGGAGTGGACGGGGGTAGGATGGAAGCTGCCCCCAAGGTAATGGATGGGTGGGATGGGACCTGACCCTGCAAGAGTGGACTGGGGTGGAATGGAAGCTGCCCCAGGAGTGGGAGTGGGAGCGGGAGAGTACCCATGGAACCTCCTCAGCCCCACAGACAGCCTCCATACTAGGGTGAGGGGCTTAGGATTGGATTTGAGGCCATCAATTTAAGATGCCCAGTATCCTAGGCCCCAACAAAATGCGTAATAAACCTATAGACTTTACCTATTGGCTGTGAAGAGGCCAGGCCAATGGTTGAGGGCCCCGCACCATGGCTCAGGGGTCAGAATCGGCAGCAGATGCAGCCGGATCCTCTCTTGGGCAACCCCCACTTGAGCAGGCAGCACCTCAAGTCTGTGCACCAGTGCCCCAAAGCCAGAGGACCCAGGCGTCCAGCCACCTTCCCTGACTCCAGGCCCACTGCTTCTATCCTCAGCACTGGGCAAGGTGGTGGACACTACTGGGCAGGGCAAGGGGCCAGGAGCCGGGGGTGCAAAGTCCCTGATGCCTTCTCATGTCACCCCACCCCTGTGTCATCACATTTCCCTTCACATTCCTCATACCCCCCATTGTCCTCATGTCACTCTCTCCCACACACCCCACTCCCAACGTGCAAGCCTCCCATCCCTTGCCCTCATGTCTCCTCTCACATCCCCATGCCCCTTATAACCCCCCCACATGTCCTCACATCCCCATGCCCCCCATGAGGCCCCCCACCCCATGTCCTCACATCCCCATGCCCTCCCCACTCCCCATTACAGGCCCTCTCCAGGCAACACTCAACCATAACCATGGCGGGGTGGGGGGTGGGGGGGTTGTCACGCAATTTGATGAGCTAAGAGAGGGTGAAAGAAATGGGAAAGATCCAGTGTAAAAAACAATGTATATGAACTTTCTAAATAAACCTCTATAAAATTTTAAAAAACAACCTACCATCACCATCGAGTTGACTCCAGTCGGCAGCCACACAGGGACCTGGTGAGGGCAGCCCCCATAGGTCCTCGAGGCTGGAGTCTCTACAGAAATGGGCTGCCATGTCGTCCACCCAAGGAGTGGTTGGGGTTCAAACCTCCAACCTATCTTAGCAACAGAGTGTTTAGCCAGGTATCCTGAGAGGTCCCCCAGCTCAGAAAGTCACTGGAACCCCTCACATGAACAACGACTCACAGTGTGCAGGGTGGGGAGGGGAAATCTGAACTGATCACCCAAGACAGGAGTCCTGGTGGTGCAGAGCGTACACACTGGGTGCCGAACCTGCAGGCCAGAGGTTCACCTCCACCCGGGGCTCTGGGGGGAAGGTGGGGCTGTCTGCCCTCCAGTAACTGTAGCCTTGGACGCTGCCCCATGGGGCGGGTTTACTGTCCTGCCAGGTTGCTACAGAGCCAGACTCGACAGTAGTAGGTGGATTTTTCTATATGGGCTCTGCAGGCAGACCGAAGGCTCCAGGATTTCATTGTTTAGGTGGATTCAGCCCTTGCACCCAGGCTGGGCTTCCCAGGAAACTCAGGGCTGGGGTGTGAGATCTGACTACCTCATTGTTCCCTAGGGCCAGGCCCAGATAGATCATGTGCCCCAGGTCACTACTGGTCCTAGAAATCCTTCACCTTTAGGGTCCAGCCTCAGCAAGATCTGAGAGAGAAATTAAAATACAGTTTATACTGGGGTACCTCTGGGGTGCACCTCAATATGACTTTCCAGCCAAAAGGAGAGTTGGGACCTGGCTGGTTATTTATAACTAACCCAGATCTGCAGAAGCATGTGTGAGGGGGAGGGGGCAGCACACAGACCCCCCACACACACACCTGCCACCTTAGACAACAGGATAGGACAACTAGCAGGAGGGGGTGGCATTGGCACAGGCCATTTCAGAAACAAGGCACCATCACCCTGTTCTCAGGAAGCAAAGAGACTGTGGGAGGAGTCACGCAGGGAGAAGGGGGAGCACCGGATGAAATGACACACCCTCACCAGAATCCTGGGAGCCTGGTCAGCTCTGATACACCAAGGCCACTGGATTCAGGGTGGGCTTCGTAGTGACTGGTTAGGAGCCCTTCATGATGCAAATAGTCAATGTTCTCAGATGCTAGCCAGGGGTCAGTGGTTCGAGTCCACCAGGGTTCACTAGGAGCAAAGGAGCAGGTGCACTAGAAGCTAGAGGGGCAAGTCCATCAAGGTTCACCAGGGGCCAGAGGGGCAGGTCCAGAGGGTTCACTAGGGGCTAGAAGAGTTTATCCACCAGAGGCAAGAGGGATGGTTCCACCAGGGTCCACTAGGGGCAAGAAGGGTGTGTCCACCAGGGAAAGCTCAGAGAGGCCTGCCTATTGCTTTTTAGAAAACTCATTGACTACCCTGTAGAGCCATCAATGGCAGCTGCCTTGAGAACTCAATTGGCAACACCAGGTTTGGGGGCTCAGGCTGGACCAGGAGAATGTGGGCAGGGCACAGGGGCAATGGGTATCTATACTTGGTATTTGAAGCCTGGCAGGATGAGTGGGAGACAAGGAAGAGAGGGGCACCAGGTTTGTGGGTCCAGACACCCATCGCCTGAAGTGAGGACCTCAGTGATGGGTCCATGGAGACTCCATTCACAGCACACCAGCTGTTACTCGAGTCCTGTCCAACCCTGCACAGTCCCCTGCCTGGAGTCCCAAACCCATGGCCCAGCTGTCCCTCCCAGTCCCGTCCTCCTGCTCTGCACATCCCCTTGGAGCCCCAAACCCACCACACTTGTCATAGCCCATCTGTCCCTCCAAGTCCTGTCCTCCTGCCCTACACAGCCCTGCCTAGAGCCCTAGACCCACCACACACTCGCTGTGGTGCAGCTGAGAGGCTTCGCACCTCTGACGACCATCTACATAGATGTTCTCCTGTGCTTGGGAACACCTCTCTCCTGAGTTTACCTTCTCCTTGTCACCTCCACGGAGCCTGTCAGCTTGTGACTGTCATCCTTGTAACTGGTTCCAGGTGAGCTTAAGTCTCCCGCTCCTGTTTGCTCCACGCTAGTCAGGGTTTTGTGTGTGTTTTTGAAGGCCTTCTTTCTTCAATTAAAAATGCTAATCTGAAAACTCTTTAGTTGGTTCTTGGGCCCAAATTCCTCATCCTACCCAAGGGCCATCCCTAGCCTGTTCCCTTCTGACTCTCTGGCCTCACAGTTCTGGGCACACGTGAATAAGTGTCTGCAGTGGCTGGCTCCTGTGGCTGCAGCTCTGCCCCCCAGGGAGCTGTGCTGGAGCCCTGCCTGCCCTGTGCCCGGTGCCCAGGGGGCTTCTCCACAGGCCTTCATACAGGCTGCTGGTAGACACACAATCCAGAGCAGAAGCAAGGATGGCCAAACCTCCACCCATTCAGAAAGACTAGTCACTAGAGAAGATGTCAGGTTTGGTAAAGCAGAGAACGCACATGAAGGAAATTAAGAAGTAGACGGCCAAACACAGAAAACACCATGAGCATGAAACTGGACAAGGCTTCCGTCATTCATGAAACATACTGATCTGCTGTCTACCCCAGCCATTTTGGCCCAGGTTGCCATGACTGTGTACCATTGAGTAGAACTATGGCAGACTCTCCAGCAGGTTTTCAGAGGCAGTTATGTCACACAGGAGGAAGATGCCCATCTTCCTCCTGTCAAGTGGCTGGTGGATTTGATTCCTGTACCTTTGGGTTGTCAGCACAGCTCCTTACCAACAGGTCACTGGAGACCAGAGAGATGTGAATTTAGATGGTGCCACCAGGACCTGTGGTGGGCTAGCCTCTCACCTCATGCTGGATTGCTGTAAGGGTCAACCTACCACTGTTGTAGTCCTGTAAACAACTCAAGCCTGAGCTCAGCCGTCCTCATTCTGTTCTTAGGAAAGAGGAAGCAGGCTCAGCCAGGCACTCATTCTCCCGAAGGCATGAAGAGCAGGGCCTGCTTCATCCCATTGCCTGTTATCTCTGATCCACTCCAGGGCCAGGGCCTGTGCCCATCACTTGCCTAACGTTCCAGCTTGGGACAACCCACCTAGCCCAGGCTGTGTAGAGGGCACACCCTGGGCTGATGGCCACCTGTCTCTGGTCTTCATGAGTCGTCTCCTTCACATACAGCCAGTGGAAGAGCAGAACCACACGTTAGTTAGCCTCTTGAACCTGGCCGGGCCCAGACTGTCTTCTCACACCTACAGCACCAGGGTTCCTACTCAGACAGGGGTGCGCACTTGACCATAGTGGTATCAATGAGAATGACTGCAACTGCGTTTTCCAGGTTAAAACGACAAAAGATAGTGGTGGCTCTGGTACTATTCCATTCAGCCTGAGCCCTCTTCAAGCAAGGAGGGTGGCTTCCCAGCCTGAGGTCTAGTTGATAGTTCTAAGGTCCACAGCCTGGGGAAATGTGACCACCTGTCCCCAGCAGCCCAGGCCCTGGCTGAGCAAGACCCTTCCTAGGAGGACCCTCAGAACTCAAGGGCTTCCAGGGGGTGTAAGCACCCCCACCACTGCACCAGTTGCGTCCATCTCTCCAGTATGCCAAGCCTTCTGTCGTGATCAGCTTCATGCGTGCGGGTCCCGGGTTCAAGCCCAGGCCCCGATGGTCTGTTGTGCGAGCGCGTCCCTGTGAAGTTGTGATTGCGTCCTGCACGAACCTCTGGTTCGAGCCCAGTCCCTGGCGGCCTTCTGTCATGCAGGCGTGTTGCTGTGAAACTGAGCAGATTAAAGGCAGGAGGCCGGTGATTGACGACCAAACGAGCCAATAAAACCTTGTGGATCACAGCGGGGCTAATCTGCAGCTGACCCGCCGCGG